AGAGATGGAAACACCTTTTCAGGTTACTATTGGACTGTGGAGTCAACTATAGGCTCCTCTTTGAATTTTCTAAACTAGCAAAATGTATTTCAGATGTACCTACATAATTTTGTCTGATCTTTCCCTGCTGGGGCAGATAAAATATTGCAGAGAACATAATGCCAACTGCTCTGATCCCTAATTTTCCTTTCATTTTCATCTTTTGCCACTGTTATGATTTGTGTCTAGATGTTCCCCCAAAGCCTTTTGCAATCATAGGGTTTTTTTTTGGAGGTGGCTGGATCTAGAGTGTGATTGATTCATAGTACAGTGCTGGAATTACAGGTGTTAGCATTAAGGGTGGGTGATTGCTGGGTGAGTCCACTGATTGGACTGGCACCATCCTAATCCTGGGAGACTTATATTGGATACACCATAAGGGATAGAAAGAGGCTTGTCTTGCTCTTGTTTGTTGCCTTTGCTGCTTTCTGCCACCATGAATTGTTGCCCCTCTGCCATGTGCCACCCTGCTTTGGAGCCAGCCAATTATGAACTGAAACCTCTACAAACTGTGAGCTGAATAAACCTTTTCCCCTTTAACTTTGGGTGTTGGGTATTTTGTTTTAGTAATGAGAGCAAAGTAACTAAGATAACCACAGAGGTAAGCTAACTCCCAAGGAAGCGCTCAGCTTCACTGTCAACAGGTGGTCACACTTATCTCCTTAATTGGTTACAATAATTTTGCGAAATAGCATTGTCCTTTATTTTTTATTTTTTATTTTTAAATTTTTTTTGGTTTTTCTCCGGTACCGGGAACCAAACTCACGACCTTGCACTTGCCAGGCAGGCGCTTTTTGCTGCTGAGCTAAATCCCCAGCCCCGCATTGTCCTTTAATAACCAAGAAGTTGACCCACTTTTCCTTATTAAAATCTGTATGAGGAAAATCATTATGTAGGTGATATTGAATATTAGATTGCAATGCCCAAGTATGTTTACACATTTTCAGGTTATTATGCAACAGATACTGAAATTTATAAATCTCAAGTTTTTAGTGGTTCTCACAGTATGGCCTACAGTACCATAGTAGTTTCACCTGGGAAGTTGTTAAAAATGCAAATTTTGGCTCCCTACATTAAACACTGGGTGCAAATATCTGGAAGTGGGGCTAGCCATCAGTTTATGTGGATGTTCAAGTGATTCTGATGTATGCTAAATTTTCGGAGCTCCTGACTTTAATGTTTCCAAGGATGAGTCTTTTTTTCTATCTTTTTAAATAATAACATGGGCAACTTATCTCCCTTTTTCTGACAGTATTTAATCATACTAATCTTTTCTCAAGCATAAATTAATCAGATTAGAAGCACCCTTTCCCTTGAAAAAGGATATCATTTCTCTAGCATGAGTGGCCTTATAATCGAAGGCATCAGTATAAGAACTGAAATGAAACACATGTGCAAACAATTCTTAGTACTGAGCCGTTCCTACCTTTGCATTAGAAGATATCCATAAGAATATTCCTTAACACCACTTAGCAGAGAGTAGAAGAAAATATGGGAGTAAAGCAGAGGTACTTTTAAAAGAACCTTTTCAGGGAGGAGGAAGGTTATATTGGATCATAGATAAAATGCTTTATAGAATACTAAGAAGGGGCGCCTATCCATTTAATGACTCTGTTAGTCGGTGCTTTACCATTTTATTATTGTTTTTATTGCCTAGAATTCCATCTCTCTCTGACAATGTTGGGGTAATTGTAGTAAACATATAACCATATCAGTCCTTGATTAATTAGCTGACATTTAGTGCTTAATATGTACCTATATATGAGCTAAAATTAGGATACTGAAAGCATGACCCCTGCATTCTAGCAAGGTTACAATCTATTTGGACTATTGGGAATAAAACTTGTGAAATTTGAGATCAGTAAAATAACATGGTCAAAATCAAAGAAACAAGATCGAGACAGCAAACATGGATGGAGAATTGATCACCCAGGGTATTTAGTATTTGTTTAAAAGGAGGCTTCAAAGGGCAGGTGGATCTCAAAAGATGGTTAAGCTCAATGGTGGATCCTTTGCAGAAATGCTCTCAATTCTTCTGCTTCCTTTATCTCTGCCCTTTAACAATGCAACTTTTAAGTTCCTCATATGAAAAGAATCTGCTCTTCCACTCCTTGAGTCTGAGGTAGCCTTGGAATGGTGACAGTGAAGAGATGCTAATCCTGAGCTTAGGTTGCAAGAAACTAAGTGGTTTGCACCACTCTCTTAGATCTTGTTCAGGTGCCATGAACAAGCCTATACTGTCTGCTGATGAATGAGACTATATGAGTTCTAAAATGAGCTGTCTCAGCTGAGACCATTGGAGACAGCCCTCAGCAGAAGAAGCCTCTGGCTGTGTCCAGTCCTAAACACCATAGTCCTGGGCTAAGTGAATGGATACAGTTCTAGGCCAACACACTTATGGAGTGGCTTGTCATACAGTGACAGATAATTGACAGAATGTCTGAAAGGTGAAAAGGAAGGGCAAAAGTGTTCTATGGTTGAGTTGAACCTGCAAAAAAGTCACAAGTCAAAAACAGTGTGGTCAGGCTGCCAAAAAATAGACTAGTAGGACTGAATATCTGAACCTCCTCCAGTAGTCAGGTAGGAGCACAGGTTTAAGAGAACTCATACTGGAGGCCATAATATGGTAACCATTCTTGAAGCATTCCACTAGTACAAGAAACAGGATTCCCCACCTGTTGAAACACAGACAGCATCCAGACCCTTTTCTTCCAAGCTACATTTTGAGAGAATGAAACATTCATTTTTAGGCAAGTATAAGATGCCAAGAATAAAAGATCTTTGTGGCTTATAGTTATTTTTATATAGAATTATGAAAGCTTATATACCATAATTTCAAGTAATGGCAACTTGTATAATCCCAGAGTAAAGATATTAAGAAGTTGGAGTGCTTTTAAAATCTTCAGTTTTTATAAGGTTGATCTATTACCCACTGAACAACAAGTTTAACTAAGTTTTATTGGGTCATTAAATATATTTTTCACCATAAAAAAGCATAGAGGAAATATCCACTTTGAATGATAAAATGTGTTCTGTCTTTCTCTTAAAAGGTACTGCTTGAAAAACGAAATATTCCTGGGATGTGGGGAGTTTTTCAAAAGTAGCTTCTTACATTTGGCAGGACAGATGGGCAGCAGGGATAGGATGGGGCTGGGTGAGGGGTGTAGCATTAGGGTGGAACAGCATTTAACTTACAGTTCCTTGTGTCTGGCATCTTTTCTTCCAGGAGCCACAGAAGTGTCTTTAACGAAAAAAGATTGCTGACAAAGTGCCATAAACTTGATAAAAATGGCCTTACTGATCAAGTATTTTAACTCAAATTATGTCTCTACCAGCAATCTCACACATGTCCCCAAATTGCGGTGAAGCAGGACTTTCACTAGAAGGCAGGGGTAGTGAAGACCGAAGCGTCACCCAGCAATGGAATCACAGAGGCCTCACACCTGAAGTGCGCTGCAAGGAGAGCGAGTGTCACAAAGTTATTCTGATTGCTGCCCTGGTCTCCTGTGAACATGTTGCTCCCTTTACCTTCAAGTAACCAGTTTCCCCAGAACTTCTCTGTACCAAGGACCCGCACGTCCGGTGTCCCGGCCTTTCTCCTCCGCCTCCTCCCACCTGCGTCTGGGCGTCCTGCGCCGGCTAACAGGTCCCCGCTCAGAGAAGCATCACCTCCGGCGCCCCAGCCTTCTCCGCAGCCCACTCGGACTGCAGCCTGTTCGCCGCCGCCGTCCTCCCATTGCAGCACAGGACGACCGAGAGGCAGGAGGCACGCGGGGCAGCGGAGGCCCAGGACGACCCCTGGCGGGCCCCGCTCGGAACCGGCATGGGGAAGGGCAGCGCGGGGCGAGTTCGCACCACAGGTAAACAGGCTGGCGAGGCGCAGGGCGCTGTCGCCGCCGCGGCCCCCCAACGACTTCCAGGCACGCAACTCCGCCTCCAGGGCTCTCGCCCTCGCGCTCTCGCCCCGCCGCTCGCCCGCAGCCCCAGCCGCCGCCGCAGCATCACTTCACACAAAGGACTGCTCCCCGCTGAGCAGCTCCCCCACCGCCACCTCCTCCTCCGGTGACAGCACCCGGCAGCAGAGCTTGGGCGCGGCGGCGGCGCGGGGGACCTGTCACTCCCAGCCACCGGGGCGGTGGCAGCGGCTTTTTTTTTTTTTTTCCCCTTTTCGCTTTTGCTTTAAAATTTCCCCCCTTATACCTCTTCGCCTTTCTGTGGTTCCACCCATCTCTCCCCCCTCCTCCTCCCACAAACAACTCTTCCCCCCATAAATAAATAAAAGGAGGAGGGTAACGAAGGGGGGAGGAGTGGCGCTGGGGGGAGGAAAAGGCAGCAGCGCGGCGGAGCGAGGCAGAGTCCGAACCGACAGCGCGGAGCCGCACGCACCTCGCACCATGAGATGGCGACGCGCCCCGCGCCGCCCCGGGCGCCCC